TGACCATGGTCGCGCAGTTGGATCTCGGCGGCATGCTCCCGGCACTGGTGATAAATGCGCTCGCTGTGGACGCACCGTTCAAGCTCCTCTAGCGTTTCCGAACGCTGTATGAACTCGAGACGTTCCCGGGCAACTCGGGACGACGAAGATGCATCAACATGTGGAAACGACACAACTGCCATGTCGTCTGCGGCCATGTCATCTGTGGACCGTGTTCGACCCATCGCATCCATACCAACTACTGGACGACTCTGCGCGCGTGTGATACCTACGTGGCTGATCTCCATAGCAACACCCCGCAGTTGGCGTGCCACGCTAGCCCCGAAGGACAAAGAAGAAGACACGAGCATGTTTACTAACTGGGTGTTTAGAGACGTTTGCAAGAGAGCGAAGACGGCTACACCGCGCATCAACATGCGCAATGTGGTGGTTCGCGGCTTCGACCCCCAACATCACCGGTGCTCGTTGGACTCGGCGCTTTCCTGTACGTAAAGCTTGAGGGGGACGCAAAACTGTGGGCGAGTAGCTGTAGCGTGCGTGCGTGCGTGGTTGGACTAGGGCGGAGCTGCCCTCCAACAGCACCTGCTGGGGTAGTACTCACGGGCAGCCATCGAAGCCATTGAAGACATTCGTGTGGCCATGAGCCACATACATGGTCAAGACATGGATCACCTACGTGCAAAGGCATCAATTCCTCACGGATGGTGTCGGGGTTGGCGCGCCATCAAGACGCTAGCAACAGTGACCATGCCGACGGACGCCGCTCCAACTGTGTCAACGACTCCTGCGGAGGAAGTTACCCACAAGGCGCTGCGCACTATCATCGATAGTGTGGAACTAATGGCACAACGCATACCGGAGCGCGGAGGACGCGGTACCGGACGACCGAGTTACGGCGATGGCAGTCGGAGGTGCTGACACGCGCACTTGTTGGCACTGCCAGAAGACTGCCCACGCACCCCCACTCTGCTAAACTGGCATGGGTCTCCATCAGCAGCATGGCGCGTCCCCGCGAAGCCGCCGCGAAAAACGGCAGAAAGCCGCTCGGCGCCTGTTGCAGCTCGAAGCGGCGGCTACTCGGCGAACGTCCACGCGTTCTCGCGCTTCGTGACGTTGGGCTCCCCACATGGCACCTGACGATGAACCGTGTCAAGCTGGCCGCTCGCGTCGACAGCTGCTCTACAAGTTGTGTTGGCAACGCAACATCACATGACGATCACGCGATCCGAATGCCCTTCGCCCTGGAAGGCATGGCCTGGCCTGGCCCCTCGGCAACCGCGGCCTGCGCAGTACTCTCCCGCGCCGACTCCCCGCCATCCATGTGCGGCGGCCTCACACGGATTCAAGTGGCAGTGGACGTGCACAGACCCTTATGGCCGCCACAGGCAGCACACAACGCAACGGGCTGTGGACCCCACGGAGCCATGAACTCATAGTTGTGGACATGGTTGACGTCACCATTGACGCTGTCCAAGCCTGGTTGGTTGATGCAGCAGGGGCGGCTTCACTCCCGCCATACGGCTCGATCGTTTAGACGCTGATCAACGCCAACAAATGCTACGTCGATTCCCACAACTGACACAAGCCGACCCCTTCATCCTTTTACCCGCGGCGGTCATGGAACATGCCATCAACACGGCGCCTCCCACACAAGAACGACGGATGCGTTTGGCGCCGTCCCAGGAAGCCATCATCCGGGCCGAGATCGTGGATGTCCTTGAACCGGCCGCCTGGGGTTGTCGTCAAAAAGAAGGATGGGTCGGCTCGTGTTTGATTACCGGCGCCTCAACGCTGTGACTGTCCGCATTGACGAGACCTTGGAACAGCTCGGGGGTGCCCCGAAACCCCGGAAGACCAACGACAGGTCCTTCGTCCACCTGGCCGGGTATATCGGCGATTCATTTTGCATCATCCAAGGCGGCGCCACTAACACAGTACTCACACGAAAAACGGAACCGTTCCGATGGGAGCAGATGCCTCAAGCACGAACTTTGTGCCCAATCGTGTGCCAGCTTGGTGGGGTTAGGAGCAGCGTTGATGCAGGACGACGACGGGGGGGGGGGAATGCTCCCGGTGGCGTGCATCAGCCACACACCCACGCAGGCGAAATACGGGATTACGGAGTTGGAAGGCCTGGCGGTCGAACATCGTCGGCACGCATCGACAGATGGCGGTACCCGCGTCGGACGGCGGTGTGGACACGCCTGGAACACAAGTTGTCAAGGCACACCACGTCCATGTAGATATCCGTGGAGCGCATGATCAGGGCGGCGCATAGAACGGTCCTTCTCGGGCGGATGCAACACCGCCACCGATGAAGCCCCCGCCCTGTCGGAACTCCCGCCAAAGGGCCGCCTCAGTACCGACGGATTCCCCATCACCTTCGGTCACCACGGTCGGTCGACCCACCCTCCGTCGACGCACGCACGCCAAGCCACTAGCCATTAGTCGGGCTATCCTTGCGTCACATCAGGGCGGCCCAAGAAACCAGCAGCCCTCAATTGACGAGATGGGTAGCACCACGCGCGACGGTCAACGGGCACTCCACCGGGGAGTATGGCGGGTCGCTATCCCTGGTCTCGTATGCTGTTGCCACCTACCCTCTGGCATGCAGCACTACGACAAGCCCATGATTCTGCATTGTCCGGTCATCTCGGCTATGCACACACTCTTGAGCGGCTGCGGCGCCATTTTTGGTGGCCGGGTATGGGCTTCTGCCTGCAAAGACTGTGGGTCGCGCAAACCCAAACAGCTGTTCTCGCAGCCACAGAATACGTGACCGTCGCCAACCACAGCGCAGCGGTCTGCGCCTTCTGGGACCGAGTATGCTTGATGGTTTATGGCCTGCCATCCGAACTGCTTGTGTCGCAGCACCTCCGAAAATGCACTCAGTAGCCTACCGCCCGGCTATGATGGAGGGTTGGTGGAGCGGTTCAACCGCACCATCAAGGCCGCCATCAATGTGGCTCCGACGCAGAACGACGAGTGGTTGGCCACGCTCACTTACGCCAACAACACGGCGACCCATGGCACCCACGGGTTTGCACCCACCATGCAAACCAACTCAAGCATCGGTTTCGCGGACCCGCGCGGCTTCGACAATTGGAGTGTCTCTGGGACTTGAGTGCCTGCCGTACTTCGACGACGGCGAGCTTGAGAGGGCCGCCGTGCTTGATACTGTGAGCGAGGAAGATGAGGCCGACCATATCCAGTGGTACAACGGACGCCGCCAAACGACATCGATGGGCTCCTTGTGTCCTAGGCTTGACACCCGACGGCGAGGAACTGGACAAGACGAGGACCAGCGCAAGACGCGCACGAGCGCGAACTCTTGCACGACATCCAGCAGCAAGCCGATTGGTGCGGAATTCGCCGAAGCCGTCGGCAAAGGAAGAAACCACTGGGGAAGTCAGTGATGGAGGTGTACTCGGGTGGAGCTTGGTTGTTGTGGACGCGTGGGAGAACGAACGGCTGAAACCCTCCGGACGGTACTGGGTGCCTTGGGGTGCACATGTGCCACCCTGCGACACTGCCATCGTGGCGGCGTGTCAAAGGGGTGGCTGGGACAAGTTCCAGCCACCAATCTCTCCTCAATGTTCTGGATCTTCCGTGCGATCCAGACCCTCCAAGAGAAAAACACACGTCCCGCTGCATTGACGACATTAACTATGGGCTTTTGCCCCAGGTAGTAGACAGACAATGAGGTCGTGGAGTGCGGTTTCCACCAGCTTGACGAGTCAAGTTTGACCAATGGAAGTATCATCCGAAGCTATGTCTGACTTGAGCTCTCAGGTGGCTGATTGTCAACGTGGTGTTGAATTGGACGGACCTGCTTTGAATATAATTGTGTCGTCATTTTTGTATGCCAAAATAATCAAACTATAATTCGTTTGTTGCAAGCTTTTCCGAATAAGGTCACGCATCGAAATCCCCAACACTTTTTGCCGCAAATTTGTCCATTCAAGTTGATGTCCTGGAGAAACTAGACAACTCTGAGGGTACCCAAAGAAAATACTATAATTCAAGCTCCATTTTAATGTGCCATTTCCAGCACAATTGAATGAGTTTTACGATTTGGACGAAAATTATTATCATCACTTTCACGCCGAGATTTCTTGTGTTAAGTATGATGATGCTATAAAAATTTGCAAAATAACACCATCAATTTTAATCTGGATGTTTCAATTCAAAACGTCAATGAAAATCATTATATTCGACACACCATTTTAATGACAGAATTCAACCACAGCATAGTGGATGCAGATAATATATTACAGTTTGGAATTAAATTAGATTGAATTTGATTGGGCCAACATGGAGTGGTGAATATAATCATAGCCAATAGAATTTGATCGGCCACCAAGGGAAGTCATTAATTGGTCAAAATTGACACTGGTAGTACCCGTTAACTATTAATAGCATGGTTTCATACTTCGAAGTAGTAGCCACTTATAAATAATATTCATTTCTTATGGATCGAATCAATGAATTAAAGAAATGATCCCTTAGTTAGTACTACTACTAGTATTAATATGGCTAGTACTACTACAGTATCATCAATAAATTCCAGTTTTGAAGAGCCGAGGAGTTCGAGGCGACTCCGACGGGAAGCAGCACGACCGCGAGCACTATCCAGCCCACCACCGACGACACCCTCATGTCATGCTTCCACGAGGCCAGCAGGTTGAAGTACATGGACGAGGAGGGGGAGGCGGCCGTCAACGATGACAGAAATAGGATGGTTCTATTTAGAATTATTTATAACATAATAGATGAAGGAAGGTTTTAATAAATGATTTAGTAGTCATCCGGATACGACATCGTAGCCAGATTCTTTCGCCTGCTCACAACATTCTGCGACGTC